ATTACAGATGTAAACACATGGTAACTGTTGCTAGCGCCACGTAGCGGCTTGGCTTCATTACGTAGACATACCGTAACAAAGGATATAATAGCAAGTGTCAGGGGCCTGATCGGAACGCAGCCTGAAGGTCATTCTACAATACGTGTCGTAAGTTGTAAGCCGTAAGAACTGACCAATTATAGCCGATTATTTTTGTAATAATCGACTGTGATTCGCCAATTCTTACGGCTTACAACTTACGACACGTATTGTAGAATGACCTTAAAGGCTCGTCTACATTAGCTGTAAGAGTAAGGCTGTAGGGTTGCAAGACACGAAATGAAATATTTTCATTCGCTGACAGCTTACGTTACAGCCTTACTCTTACAGCTATTGTAGACGAGCCTTTATAGCCGCTTACTTTTGTAATAATCGACTGTGATTCGTCAATTCTTACGCTTACAACTTACGACACGTATTGTAGAATGACCTTAAGCCAGCGGCACACGGTGCTTGTTTCCGAGCTGGATTGCTTGCTGGATGAAAATACTGCGTTCTGATTGGTACATTTCCGAAGATGGATGGAAATACACTAATCAGAACGCAGTATTTTTATCTAACACGAAAACAAGCACCGAGTGCCGCTGGCTTTAATGGCAGCACCAATCAGAGGAGGAAACATGATCCGCTCCACTCTCTCTAGATTCTCCCTGGCTGGACGACCGTAGAATTGTGCAGAGTTGCGCTCTCTTGTCTCTCGTGTCGTATTCGTGGCCGAGTTCGACGACGATCAGCGACGAGATGCGGTGCCGTCTCTGCTGACAGGCATGGCGTTTGACGGCGTTTGACGAGAATCTACTAGAAAAGTGTGCGCGGGCTCACGTAGTGCGCAACGAGGGTGATTGCTCGTCACCGTCATCGTCGTGGCCGCTGTAGATCTGTAAGATCGGTGCAACAACGACTGGTGCGTACACGCGCAGTGAAAAAAATGTGAGGCCCCGAAGCGACAGCGGGTCCGGAGCTCGTTGAAAGTGAACGAGAGACGGAGAGAGAGAGAGAGAGAGAGAGAGAGAGAAAGTGTGAGAGAGAGGGAGAGAGAGAGAGAGAGAGAGAGAAGAGACTGAGAAGAGGGAAAGAGACGAAGGAGGGCAAGAGAGAGAGAAAGAGAAAGAAAGAAGGAGAGGGAGGCAGAGAAAGTCGCCGTGCCGAACGGAGAAGCGAAGGAAAGGCGAGAGGAGACGACACACCGAGAAGCTTCTTGTGATTTCGGAATCTCGGCGACGAAACGGTGAGAAGATACACACGGTAATAATACGAACGGCGCTACTTCGCGATGTTCTTTCAACTCCACACCTTCTCAGCACTCTTTTGTAATTTGTTTCCTTTTTCTCCGGTCCCCTTTCGACCAAAGCCTGATGATCATGCGGCTGTTTTTTCTCCTTCCTAGTGCGGGAAATGTAGGAAAATGCAACGGAAAGTGGACCGCTACCTCGCGCGAAGATCATCAGAAAATTCAGTAATCTGTTTTTTTTTCTTTTTTTTTTTCGAGATATACTTTTTTTACTTTCTCACGCGAGGTAGTCTCTTCCTCTTCGATTTTGTTTTCCTAGAATATTCGCGCTTTTGTAGTGTTATTTCAATATAAGATATACATAAGATGTATATAAGTGCGACTAAAACAACAGATGCATACATTCTGATGCACGTTGATTGTACGAAATGCCGCTTGCGCTCGTGAGAATCGACTTCGCGGACAATGCGCAATGCTCGTTCGCAGATAAGGAAAATGTTTTTGAATCACCTGTGTGTGCGTACGTTCATATTACGCGAGTCCGGCTGCTTTATCTAATCGCACACTGCTACATTTTCCATGCTCGGCACGAAACAAATGTATTCTCTCGTTTCGCGCGGAAAAATAGAAAACAAGCGGCAAGGATAGGATAGATCGGGTAGACGTCATTGATAAGAGACATACGGTTAAATCTAACCTAACCCTAACCTAACCCTAACATCTCAGAATACCGATACATTTCAAATCGTACAAACAAGTTGTAAAAGAAAGGTTCTCAAGATATATGCGAGGTATATAACATGTAGTCAAAATAACATTTATATAATATATAGGATGTTTAAAAAAAAAGCTTACGACTTTAAAAGCAAGTAATGCTCATAAAATAAAGGAAAAAGGTCCTGACATAAACATCTTTGTATTGTAGAATTGCGAATTTATTTTGCTTCAGCTTATTTTGTATTTAGCATTCGACAACATTTTAAATAGGTCCTTCGGTGAAAGATGAATTGGATAGTATGGACCAGTCTCATGGTCCTCTTATTATCCTGATTTAAATTAAATCTTCTAGAATTTTTTTATGAAGATTTCTTATGAGCACTGGGTCTGTTCTTTACAGCTGCATTGCTGAACTGGTGCAACTATATTTTTTCTCACTCTAACTTATTGCACTAGTTCAGCAGTGCAACTATAAAGAACAAACTCCTAGATAAGCAACAGACGAATTACATCAGAGAATACAAAACAGAGAATACAGAATGCTTCTCAAATAGTTAGAACAAAGTCGAATATTTTTGAAAGAGTCTGCAATTCTATGGTATAAAGATGTGAAGCGAGTGTAGAAATAGGAGGAGGACATGTAGAATATCTCCTGTAAACTTTGTAAACATCAGAAACAAGTAGGTCATTTGCTTAAAATAAATAATTGTTTATAACTCTAACAATATTAATTTTCCAATCCATGTTTATTAGGACTTTTTTTCCCTATTTTGTGTGAATACTGCTTGCTCTTAAAGTCCTGAACCTTTTAAAATATCCTATATACAGATATGTATTTATTTAGGACAGAGACATAAAAGTATGTAAATATACACCGCGATAAGAAAATGTCAGGGTTGGGAAAGTTACTTTTTAAAAGTAACTCGTTACCGTTACCATTACTTTCGGTAAAAAGTAACTCGTTGCCGTTACTCGTTACTGATCTTAAAAAATAACGCGTTACCGTTACTTGAAAGTAACGATATTTTATTTCGTTACTTTCCGTTACTTTTTTTTGTTGTAAATCCAGGATTATAAGAAAGGTGCTAAGACAAGATATAAATCGGACATAAGACGATTAGAAATATATATATATATATATTTAAATATTTTTATTATTTTATGTTATTAAGTATTGTATTTAATGAAAAGTTTCTTAATTAGTGGATATGAATTTAATATTTGGACATTAGTGCCTGTTGACTTTAAAAATCTTTGCCATTCATCATAGACAGATTTCTCATTTGATGTTTGCTATTTAAAATTAAAAAAGTCATCGTTATTATTGTGCTTATCAGATATCAAAAAATTTTTAATTGAAGGAATTCCTTATAAATCTTCTAAATACGTTTGCGCAAGTTTTCACTTATCTTCAGCTAACCAACTCAATTTGGGATGCAAACAGCTGGCAATTATCAATTCTTCTTTTTCGAATGTAGTACAAAACCTAAAGTTGAATCAATAAAATTAAATATGAACATATTGATTTTTCTTTTTGATCAGATGAATGTTGTTTGATGAACATATGTATTAACCAAATTACACCAACTTACCTTTCTTTTACATCTTTCTGTATAGCTAAGGCCAATGGATGACAATATGTGAGTCCATCTTTATTGGTTCTCATTAAATTCAGCATAAAACAAAAAATGCATAGAAATTTAATACAATTAAGTTTAATTTTATAAAAATTAAAAAGTAACGATTAAAGTAACGGACGTTTTGTTACTCGTTACAAAAAAAATGTATCGCCGTTACTTTTTCGTTACTGACACCAAAAAGTAACGGCGTTACCTAATCGTTACTCAAAAAAGTAACGAGACCAGTAACGGCGTTACAAATAACGCGTTACTTCCCAACCCTGGAAAATGTAATCTTCATATCAATTCCTCGTAGTAATAACTATCTCAATATCGGATGTTTATAGACCATCCTACCTTGTCGCGATAGTATAGAATTCTCGTAAATTGAAGTTTCGCTGATTCTCCATGACGAAGTACAAAGCTATCATCGCGAGTATCGCGCACTGTCATGTCGCGGAGACTCATGTAATAACAAACGCGCGATGCAAATGATTCAAGGCAAAATGACGCACTGAAAAGGAAACCGGAACAAACGCTCGGAATCTCGTGATCGCGTGCCGATAGGACAGAGAGGACGAGAGTAGCAGCTCGTCGTGTCTCATGTCAAGAAGAGGAGCCTTGTGTCTCTCTGCGACCACGTAGAATGGGTGAGAAAATTATCGAGTTATCAGCTTTGTAGTAGCGACTGAAGCTTGGATATCAGTCAAACATTTGAACTGGATTCAGGTCTCGACGTGAGTCACTGGTTGGTCAACTGAATTTTTCCGTCTACGTTATAGGCTAATCATGATCCACAGACGGCTAATTGTTTATAGGGATTGAATTTAAAAAAACTTATAACTATGATATTTTAATAATGGTAATCTCATTCTAGATCTTAACGACCTATTGCGCAAACGAAAGAAGAAAAATCACTCGTTCGCAGTTTAAGCAAATACGATCGAATCTAAAATACCTATCCGTGCTAAATGTCGATCAAACTTTCACTTGAATTTAAGTTTCTGCTGAATAGAGCTTAAAGCCCAGAACGAGCTTTAGTCGATGTTGGTGGAAACGGACACGAGGCGATTAGATTTTATCGCGAGTTGCTTAGCTACCGATCATTGCCTTGGTTTTGTTTCTTCGATTTGTTCCTTTTTTTAGCTGCACTGTATTATATTATACTTTGGCTGTGTTTCAAAATTATTAACAGCGCTGGGAATCCATAGTATACGTAATATGAACTATAACTTTTCAGTGCTGGCAGTGAATAATATTGGAACGCAGTCCTAGTTTAGGGTGAAATAAGCATGTATTCGCGAGATTCCAAGAGAGAGAGAGAGAGAGAGAGAGAGAGAGAGAGAGAGAGAGAGAGAGAGAGAGAGAGAGAGAGAGAGAGAGAGAGAGAGAGAGAGAGAGAGAGAGAAAATACAGAAAATGCAGCTAAAATCGGCTCTTATCCACGTTAGAGTTAGAATCAACCGCCATAAATCACTGAACGATTCTCTTTCCTCAAGCTCTGTGTAAAACAACTAAAACAGCTTGACTATTTTCTTCTAGATGATACATAGTTCGACCCATGACGTAAATACAGAATGTAAATTAAGCTGGAGGCCAGGTTGAAGCGTCGACCCGCATAAGCGCGACTAAGATCCCGTCAGGGCGATCGTGCGATCATAAGGACCGTGTCGTGTTGCACTTCCTGCACTTTCCTTCCTTTTCTGCCTGTGAAGCCCGAGAGAGTGATACACCCGCATCGGCTCGAAAGACGGAAAGTCCGAGAAAAGCGCGGCTGAAACGGCGAACGCACGGCGCGCATTATAAATAACGCGCTATTTGGAGTCGCGCGTTGTGCGCGCGCGGTGCGGGGTGACGTCTTCCGCAGAAACATGGAGGCGATTGCGCGTCGCCTGAATTTGCGTCGCGACGGGACGTGGAGGCGCGTTAGAAATCGCGAGTTGGAATCGCTTGCTCGACCGATCGCGAGCTTCTCCACCCGTATCTTCCTTCGTCCGCCCGCTCTGCTGAATGATTCGAAGTCGAATTTGGAAGTTTCCCTCGCTTCAAAATGACGAGGCGCCGATAATCCCTCCATTGCATGCGCATCGGAGGCTCTTCACGATTCTCGCAGTTGTGGATCTCACATGTAAACACGGAAACGATCGTTTAAGACTGCGTTCGCGGAAACTTCACCCGGATGCATTCGGGTATACCTTACGTCCTTCGGAAACCTTAACGGGTAACGCTCAAGTGATAACAGTGAAGTTGTTCGGAAACTCTGTTAGGTGAATGATTTTCCACTCTGGAATTTCAGGGTGGATTCAGGTAAATTGTTATATTTGGTGGGGTCTTTAAATAGCGTTTTCGATTTATTGATTTCATCCAACTCGATGTCGTTCTAGGTGCGTTCCGAAATACGTTGATAGTATTGAAAATCTATAGTCTATCGTTCACCATTGTCTAATCAACTACCGTTCGCCATTGTCTGTCACTATCTATCTACCGTTCGGAAATTACTAGCACCCTGCCATTATCATTATCACTCATTCATTTCTACTCGCAGGTGAAGTTTCCGAACGCAGCTGAACGAATATCCATGTCGCGGACAGGTACGCGAAGTGAACTCAACGGCTTTGCTCTCATTCGTAGATACAGAAGTACCCTGAGATCACGAGACGCGAACTGCTACGCGGTGGATCTTTGTCTCGCGCTTTCGCGGGACGGGTATAATTACGCAGAACCCCAAGACAGACTCCTGCTTCTGAAGAAGCAGGACTCGACTCATCGAACAAATGCTACTTCTCAGCGAGCTCCAAACGCTGACAGACGTCTCACTCGATGCTATATAACAGAGTTCATGTCTCGTTTCACGTTTCGGAGTAAAGTGTTCAGCGTTTTGCTCCTCGCCTAGCAGCTCCCGATCGCCCCAGAAACGTCGTTATCCGATTACTTCACGCTCGGTCGGACCGTCGGCGGCGATGACGCACCGAAGCGACGAGTCGCCGTTCGCATGATACGTCGCGTTGCGTGCGGAGTCTCGTGCGTCGTCGTCGGTCGCCGCGCGAGACGCTAACCCGCTCGGTTTCGTTGAAGCGATCTCGCTCAGAGGGGAAAAAAACGTCGTTCTCAATTACTGCGAACTGCGAGCGCTTCCCGCCGAGCGCGCGCGCGACGCGTAGACGCGCCGCCGCGCGTCATCATCGTCGTGCACAGCCAGCCATGGTCGATCGCGTTTCGCGAGAGAATTGGAATAATTGCCGCCCCGGTAGCGGCTGTCGGTTGCATAACGATGTATTCCCACCTCCGTCGTGTAACACGCGCAGTTCCGCAGTTCTGACCCATCGGTTTCCCGCCGGAGAAACATTCACGCTCGCCGGTACAACTCGCGCGCGCGCGCTCGCGCGGAATCGGTGACGTGGGAAAAGATCACAACAACGATGACGGCGGCGAGAAACGCGTCTCCCGCGAATTATCGAGAAGAGCCTCGCGTGCGCGTGAGGTTAACGGAGAACGTCGGCGGGGAAATATCGACGATCTGTAAAAGCCCTCGCTGCGCGCACACGCCGTTCGCGCTGTTCGTCACGTACCAGAAATTTTCGCTGCCATCATCGTCGAGCTATCTATAGACTGTAGTAATAATAATACACATAGGGTGTCTCAAAGCCACCGCTCAAAGTCGCTCTCTCGTCCGCGAGCGCGATCGCTCGAGCACGTCTCATTCCGTCGAGTCTCCATGTGACCGACACTCCGATAAACATCTTCAAATTCGTTTTAGGTTGCCCACGCTCCGACTTGTGTGTGCGTTTTAAGTTACGTGACCGAGAAAGCGGAGAGCGCGGTTTCTCGTTCACGTCGTTCGCCCTTCCCGAACGTTCCCGTCTTCTTCCTTCCTCGAGATTTGCTCGCGGACGCCCGCCGTTAATTCGAGCGCTGATTATCTCGGATCCGGTGCTGAATCGTTAAGTGTTAACCGCAGATAAGAGGCGCGACGAGATTGCTTTGAAACGCACTCTGTGCATCTGTACATCTCCCTCCTTGTGTTCCCATCATGCACGATCGCAATCGCGAGGATCAGAATGTGCTTCCGTTCATTCTGAAATGCGCGATCCGTCACACGGAAACGTGTATACGCGGGCTGTTATTATTATTACGACACGGATTTAATTGCGATCGCTCCTTATCGTTTCTCGTCGTCTCCGATTCGCTGCTCGTTAATTCGAATCACGACAGGCTCTCGGACGCATTACGAGAGAGCGTTTGGCACGAGACCGAGAAGTCGCATTTAGCACTAAATGAGCACGCCGAGAATACGGGTCTGTTTATTGGACGCGGCTTTTCTCGCGGGTTTCTACTGCGAGGAAAACGCGTGCGTGCTGCGCATACACATACACACGCGTTCTCTCTCTCTCTCTCTCTCTCTCTCTCTCTCTCTCTCTCTCTCTCTCTCTCTCTCTCTCTCTCTCTCTCCTTCTTGGTCTATTCTCTTCCATTTCTGTCTCTCGGTCGCCTCGGATTCCTCGCATTCCGCATTCGGCCGCGCGCATTACGCGCTTCGCTCGTGCAGGCGAATGTATACAAGTTAATTAAGCCCCGTCATCTGATAGCGGAAACAAACGCTCGGATTTATTTTGACTTATTTCGATTGTAGATACACAAGGAGGAATGTCCCGTAACAATGGACCTGGTCTCTACGAGTTTCTTATGGAAGCCGAGCTGCAACAGTATTATCCTGGCATTCGAGGTATTATCTTCGAGTCCTCGTTTCTCTCATTCGACACATTCTTAAAGCCTAATTGTTGAACGATCAGTCACGTTTGTTTATACGTCCATCGAGGACACACGTGCCTAAATTGCACAGTTACCGAAGTGTTCGCGCGAGACTTCGTGTTGTTACCAAAGCGTTAACAAGAAGTACTCTCGTCTTCTGTCCAGGGGACTTGAAGGTGCAAACAACGGCGCAACTGAAGTATGTGACGGAAGAAGATCTGAACGCGATAGGGATGAGCAAGCCAGAGATGCGTCGTCTGAAAAAGTACTTTCAGAAGCACTTCCCGCAGAATTACCTCTCCAAGTTCAAGAAGATGCTGCTGCCGAAACGCGAGGAGCAGTCGCCCGGTGCTCTGAGCATGCTGCCGGAGGAGCGACAGGACAAGCCACCGGTTCGCGTTCCCAACAAGCACATGATACCGGCGGACGCGATCATCGTCAACAAGGAACTGGGCACCGGTGAATTCGGCATCGTGCAGCAGGGAGTGTGGACGAACGACGGCGAGAGGATACAGGTGGCGATCAAGTGTTTGTCGCGCGAGAGGATGCACAATAATCCTATCGAGTTCCTGAAGGAGGCCGCAATCATGCACTCGATCGATCACGAGCACATCGTGCGCATGTACGGTGTGGTGCTTGACACGAATTCATTGATGCTGGTCACGGAACTGGCGCCGTTGCGCTCGTTGTTGGAATGCTTGAAGGAGCCGAGTCTTCGTGCCAGTTTCCCGGTCTTGTCGCTCTGCGACTTCGCCGTGCAGATCGCCGACGGGATGCAGTATCTGGAGCAGAAGCGACTGATACATCGTGACCTCGCCGCTCGGAATATTCTTGTGTTCTCCAAGAACAAGGTCAAGATCTCAGACTTTGGTTTGTCGCGCGCATTGGGAGTCGGCAAGGATTACTACCAGACGAATTTCAACGTCAACCTGAAGCTGCCAATCGCATGGTGCGCGCCCGAGTGTATATCTTACCTCAAGTTCACGTCGGCGAGCGACGTTTGGGCGTACGGTGTGACCTTGTGGGAGATGTTCAGCTATGGCTTTCAACCGTGGGCGGCGTTGACTGGTCATCAGATCCTCGAGGCTATAGACGAGCCGAATTTCCAAAGGCTGGAACAACCTGACTGCTGTCCCAAGGACTACTTTGCCCTCATGCAGCAGTGTTGGCAGCACGATCCACTCAAGAGGCCGAAATTCTCTGATCTGATCAGCGTGCTACCCGACCTAAAACCGGAGCAGGTGCAGGCGGTTCAGGACAGCATCGATCCGAGTCAACTCGTTTACAGGCAAAGCGATGTGATCACGGTCCTCGACAAGGGTAGCAGCAACACGCTGTGGAAAGGCGTGCTGAACAACGGCAAGACCGGCTATTTCAATCCGGCTCACACGATAGCGTACATCGGCTCGAATCTACCCAGCAACAAACCCGGCGAGTTCACGCGCGGAGACGGCAAGAACGCATTCTCCTCGCAGCGTAGGAAAATCCGCACAGACATGATATCGTCGCCGCAAGGCGATCTCAAACATACCGGTCACGTGGGTCTGGACGGCGCATACTTCGGTGACATTAGTTTCCTCGGCGGCAAATACCCGCACTTGCCCCGCCAAGTGGTTACTCCGTACAAACCGCAGGAGGACGTAACTGATAATTCTAGTCAAATCGTAAGTCAGGATGCGAGGAGTGTCGATGTGAACAGGGAATCAGTGAGGGACAGTAGAAACCTACAAGAGACCCAACAGAGCAAACACGGTATGTACTAGCACTTTGTTTCCGGGAAACATTGAATTTATCAAATCGTTACTTGTATCGCTTCAACAAAGATAAAATGTCTATATTTGGTCAAATTTACATTCGTCTGTGCTGAAGCGAAGCAAGTTCTCTAAGTAACCGGATCAAAGCGCTGGTCGAACGTCAGTTACCTTTGATCTTAGTAATTGATCTTGCTGCGTTGCGAATAATGCGATCTTGTGTGGTTATTAGAGAGCTTATGGTCCGATACGAGTTCGGAGATATGCCATGTGACCACGACGGCCAACGCGAGCAAGCAATCTATGACGACCAACATGGGCAGCAGTACCGACACTCTCGGAGCTGACCACGAATACCACGAAATCAGCGACGAAGAGAACCAAGACAGTCCGTTGAGATTCGATAAGGCGTTGAATTTCGACTTTGGCCCGAGTCTTCTGGCAGAGATGGATCAGATGTTCCGATCGCTAGGTAAAAAGCGAGAATCAAAAGATTTCAGACATATTTAGTCTTCTAGTGCCCCTCTCTCCTTCTCCTTCTTTCCCTTCTTTTCTCCCTCTTTCTCATAATTTCTTCCTCTGTCTCATAATGAGATAACATTTGTGATATTATATGTACTCTCCACAGGTTCTTCCCCTCCACCACCGCCACCCGGTCATCCTTTACCCACCGAGCATGAATCGAGCAACGTGAGAAATGAACTGCGAGAGATACAGGCGAAACAGTGTAGCAAGAAGAAACAAGCCACCGTGAGTCCAATAAATGTACAGTAATCTTTTATTATTTATGAGTTTATGTGTTATATATCTCCACAGTGTTACGTTTCTCTTACTTATTATTTGCGGCTCTTTAGATATTATTTTCATTTATATTTATACATGTTGTATGTATGTGTATATACATATATATATATATATATAGTATATACACACACATATATATACAGGGTGTCTTATAACTAATCTGGCAGAGCTCGTGGAGACATAGAGCGGATTAAGACAAATATAAAAGTCCCATACCATTTTATGAGATTCGCAATAATTATCGAGTTATTAATGACAGAAATCTGAGGAATGAGTGCATGCCGAGACGTTATGGGAGGAGCATCTAGCCGCTCAGGCTAGAGAGCACTGCCCAGTCGACAAAGGAATTGTTGCCTCTCTCTCTCTCTCATTTCGTTAGAAAATGGGTTCATTCAACCAAACATATTTTCCGTGTAGACTTGAATAAAACGATAGGACACGATGAGTCTCTACGCGAATTCTATCATACTCTAACAATTAAATATTCTCCTAACGATAGAGTACAATAGAGTACGATGAAAAGTGTTCATCGTACTCTATCTTTACGCGATATCATTTCTTTCGGATCCGATGCAGCAAAACGATAGATTGCGATAGAAAACGATGAGAATCTCTGTAGATCTCATCGCTCTCTATCGCTTTCTCCTTTTCGATGTTTTCCTTGATCAAAGAACTTTTGAATCTTGAACTTTACAATTCAATATGAGCTATCTGTGGTACCTCATAAAATAATCTCATAATTGTAATCGCGAATATTCAGCGGCCATATCGGCGCGAGCTTAGACGCGGTGCGGCGGGATGTAGGAGCGGCGAGGTAAGGACATAAACATTGGCGCGTCGTCCTTCCTCTCGCCGCGCGCCGGCAACAGTTCCTTTGTCGACTGGGCAATGCTCTTTAGCCCGAGCGGCTAGATGCTCCTCCCATAACGTTTCGACGTGCACTCATTCCTCAGATTTCTGTCATTAATAACTCGATAATTATTGCGAATCTCACAAAACGATATGGGACTTTTATATTTGTCTTAACCCGCTCTATGTCTCCACGACCTCTGTCAGATTAGTTATAAGACACCTTGTATATACATATATATGTACATACATACATACACATATCAAGTTGAGAAATAAAAAATAAAGTTGCTCTGATTTACAATCGATGATTTGCAAGGGCGGTTCTTACGCACACCGATACTGAATCTTGTATGATACGTGTGCAGCGCAGCAAACCTCTCCGCAATGTATTCGTTCATGAGAAAATAGAAAGAAAGAGAAGGACCGCGGAAATGTTAACCTCGCCGTTGATATCGATGGAGACGGTAAACGTTTCTCTTGTATCTAGGTGAAGCCTATCTCAGCCGCCGATCAGAAAACTCTCTACTCAGCCATTGCTATGGCACAGGAATTGACAGCACGTTCCATGACAGATCTTGAACATCCACCGGAGTCTCCCCGAACACCTGCCAGTCCTTCAAGACGCAGAAAATTCTCTTTTAAGTTGCCACATCAACACAGTCCTAAACCAGACAGACGACACTTTTCCGAAGAAGCCGCCAGTATACCTGACATACAGGTACATAAAACGGTTGTTTTGTTTCATCTCACAGAGTTATGTTAGAGAGATCACGCGTGAGATCGAAAGACTCTTATAACAAAGGAAGACGCGTTAACAGGAAGAACGAATATATCCCTCGTGTTGTTTACATACTCATTTACACAATCGAGAATTTTAATGTTAATTCGTAGGATCGTTAGAAAAACTCGCATGGTGGGGAAATTTCCCAGCCACTCGGGAACCTGAGGCGATAATATACTAACTGACGCAAACTTTATACGCGCGAGCGAACGACGACAGGAGAATTCTGAATTGTCGGTTGAATTCATCCTTCTTCGCGACCTTTTTACTCCCCGCTGCAGACCAGTCGCGGACACGTCGTTTCCCCTAGAGTTATTCGACAACAGAGGCAGTTCTTCCTTTGTTCTTTCAAGTCGTATTTAACACCGAAGCAATATGATGATTTACACACACTATTACACTTCTTACATTCTCGAGCATACGGAATCTCGTGCGGAGGATCGCTTCGCAAGTCGAGAATCGTCGGTAAATACGACGAAATATGGTCGTACGCAGGCTTGGTTATGATTCGGATCTCGATATGATAGGGTAGAGATGATTAATACATGCTTTGACATATACCGTCTGAAAACTACTTTGGAAGCTGTTATGGAACAGAGTTAATTCCTGCTGCCACGTAAAGTGAAGAGTAGGTATTACATATGTATATAACAATCGCATCTACTAACTATTAACAACTCACTCTGAGATCGATCGATTGTACCTGAAGTCCTTTCGTTTTTAACCTAGTGCTTATTCACTTACAACACGACTAATATCTCGACTTCCCCGTGACCCTTTTCCTCTCTTTCTCACTTTCACTCTCGTCACTCTCGTCTCATTTATTTCTGTATTTTTCGTTTACTTATGATTTGACGTTTGATCTTTAATTGCATCGCAAATCGAACTGTTTTGTTTTAATTTTGCGATCAATGCAAACTCTCTAAGTATCTCTTGTCGACTGTAAAACTTGGTGTGCGCATATAACACACGTTACTGATACGACACACGATTGCACCTATCTGGCATGATTTGCTTGATTTGATATAATGCACTTGGTTGTGAACTCGAATTATGCATGTCGTGTTGGAATTCTCTCGCGAACTTCTGCATGAAGTGGTTGTGCTCGAGCCTGCAGTCCCTCTCGTCCACAGTATCTAGCATAGAATCCCTCGGCGCGCCGTCCACCTTGAAGTTACCCCTGTGGGACAAGGCGTCGGCGGAGTTCTGCTTCGCGAAATCGCGCGAGTTGCTGACGAAGCCGAGCGCTTGGGCCTCGTATGTAGACATGGACTTCGACACGCACATATTAGATAATGCGGCGACGAAGCAGAACCTCGTCAAGTCCACTGAATTCTTGGAGAACGGAAACCGGAAGGGCAACGCGAATTGCGAGGCCGCGGCCGACGTGGACGGTAAACTGAATATACGCCATCAGAACGGCAAGATCTTCAACCTGGAGAACTCCAACTTCGATTTCCCGCGCGAGGTAAAGCGGGTATCCACCAGTTACGTGGAGCGCTACTTCGAGCAGCCCAAGTACTTCGACGACGAGCCTATCCTGGGCTGCCCCGGCGGCGAGAAGATGTACTTTGGCGACGAAAAATTGGACAAGTACGACAAGATCAATAATCTGGAGCAGCCCAACAGGTCGGCGTATTACTCCAACGTGCCTGAGCAAGGCTCGTCGGTCGGTGGTAGGCCCAATCAGGCGTTGCAGAATAAGCCGAGCAACTGCGAGCCGCAATTGAAGGACAATATCGCGCATTTTGAAGCGCGAGCCGACGAGAATTTCGACATGTTGAAGGAGAAGACGGCGAATTTCGAATCGCCCCGGAGTAAGCCGAACAAGTTCGAAGCTGTCAGGGACAAAGCAACGAACTTGGATCTTGGCACACGACCGAAGATTCCCATCGCTTTCACCGAGTCCACGAAGATGAACATCACAGAGTTCACGAAGAAGATCGACTTGTCGAAGTCGCGAGCGGCGAAAGTCTCCTTTGTGCCTAGGAACCCGAATCAGGATACGAAGAGTGGCGTTTACGGTTCGTCGGACAGCATCAAAGCGAACGTGAAAACTGGAGGATCGGACAGTCCGAGGGGCAACATGGAAGCGATGAGGATAAATATACAGAGCTTCCGCAAGATCGAGCAGAATCAGAACGGCCACGAGGGCTTCCCGTTCGTGATATCCAATAATCCTCTGTTCATCGCCGAGCCGGAGAAAAAGGAGTCTCCCATATACAGCAGTTCCGAGAGCCTGCGAGTGAATTTCCAACGTCTCAGGCGGAAATCCGACGCTGAAGCCAGCCAAGTAGAGCTGAACAGCAAGCTATTGGCGGAGAAGTATCAGCGCGAGGTGTCCGGCTTGGAGACCGTGAAGAGTTATTTGGACTCCAAGAAAGGTCAAGGCTTGAACCTCGGTCTGGGCAAGCTGACCCAGAATATGATCCAGTTGGGTAAGAACATCGCTCAGAATTCAAGGAATTTGGAAAGCACTTCGTCCAAGTCACTGGTGTCCAACATGAGGAACCTGGACCTGTCCGTGCCGTCGCAGACGCCACCGTTACGCAGCTTGAACATACCGATCCAGAAGCCGAAGCATCTGGATCTCAACATACCTCTGCAGAGTCAGTCGCCGATGAACGCGAAGCTCAACCTGATGCAGAAGGCGAATCCGCCGCTGACGAGTCCGACCATGCACCAGCACATACTGGAGCCGCCCAAGCTGTATCAGAATGACCCCGCGCGGAAAGAGCTGCCAAAGCTGGACGTGCTCGTGCCGGAGAAGCTTTCTGGCGCCGCGAACGTCTACCGACACCGAACGTCGTCCTTGTCGGAGAATAGGAAGCCGCCGATGAAGAACGTACGCAGATCCTTCCATCCGAGGAACGACTCTAGCGAGGATTCAGACTCGGTCTCGCACTCGGAGACGGACATCAGAAGCCGGCTGCGCTACAAGCGCAGGCACAAGCGAGTACCGCACAGCTTGCGCTTGAACTTCAAGAACAACAAGCCGCCTTTCTTGCACCCAGACACCGCCAAAGGATTCTCTGCAATCGAGCTGTGCGGCAAGTCGCCGCCACCGTCTACCAGCTTCCTCAACTCGCTCTCCCCGCCGTTCTCCTCCAGGAATAATCTGCTCTCATGGCCGGAGAGCGCGCCGAGCTCCAGCCTGACGTTCACCAGCAACTCCGACCTCGACTCGGACACCAGCTCCGAGTATCCGGAGTTCACGAGCGATGTGTTGACTTTCCCACCCTCTCCCGCTCCATAAAGTCCGAATAATGTCATGTTGACGTCATGGCTTTTCAAAGCCTCGATCGATCTGGATGTAGCTTTTCTGTGTGTATGTGCGCGTATGTGTGTGTTGGCGAGTCCGAATTACACGGTTTTGTGTAGTATGGTCGGAAAAGCTGTTCCGTCTGTCTGACGAATGCATGCAATTGTATTGACCCATTATAGATTCAACGTAGATTTCGTACAACGTCGTGAAGTCCTCCGATGCATAGGATAATCTCACTGAAATGGTTCTTAATAATATTTATGTTTTTTATCTCGTCTTTATAAGAGAGACGCTAGCTCATTCGACGAAATTGAACCAGAGAAGTGTTACATATTGGCCGTAAAGAACCATGGAATTAAATTAGATATCTCAAGCAGTTTTATCATCTACCACTACTATATACACTATACTGAAATATCGAAATATTAAACAGGGCATTAAAGTGATCTTCAGTGATTTGTGATGGATGATCTTTAATGGGTTGAATGTAAGCCGTTATATCCTAACGTATGGCTCATCACGCGTGTTCACTCGGTCGGTATACTCCGTATTTCGAGGATATTCACAATGAGGATAAAACGTACATTGAAGAAATTGCAGCGTAATCCCGTTTGTTCCTCAAAATTCGACGCGAACGATTTTGTACATTTGAAAAAAGTGCTCCTGATGAAATATACAATTTTGGATATAACAGGTTGTGTGAGTAAGCGGTATATACTTCACGGGGTATATACGGTATGTATACCAGGGTGTATAAGGTGGACATACAATAATTGATTAAAAGAGGTGTTGTGCAAAGCAACAATTCTCATATACGCTTAGCATGCTTGCATGTTGTACTAATCACCGAATAATATTAACGTATAATGGAACACTTTGGACGTATTTACACGTTTATACTAATTGTACACGTATCCGAGAAACCGATAACAAAGTCCTGGGACGTACAAATCGGTTCGTTGCTAGTAATATCAGTTTTTATTCGACGGAGATTTATAGATACGATACACACTTGCACCTACGTATTTTCGAGTAGTTGCAGTACATTGGAATATAAATCAGGAGTTCTCAAACTGAGACACCGCATATCATCGGTGAGTGCGCCAACCGCGTCCGATGTATCCTGTAATATATTTCTATATATATTCTTTAATATATAATATATGTATATACAGGGGATCCCATTTTAAACGAGCCAGGCAAAAATTTCGAAAAATATGAAAGACACTAAGAAACGTTTTAGACAAGAGTTGTTCGAATTAATTGGTAGAAAAAGATGATGTAATAAAAAATTGGGATTTCCATTTAAGAAAAGTAATGATCGGTGAGTATCTCGAAAATAGCGCCATCTGTAAACAAAATGATATAGTTGTTTTATGTCCCCTTTGAAACCATACAACTTTTGTCTGAAATATTTCTTAATATCTTTCATATTTTTCGAGATTTTTGCCTAGCTCATTTACAACAGGACACCCTATATATACACAATTCCAAGCAATGACGATTTCTATCTTAGATAACACAAAAAAGAGACGTATTGTTTTTCTCTTCATCAATTTATCTCCAATCAGATGGGAAAAAATTGTTGTGTACACTTTATTGCAAAGATAATTGCTTTCACTTACCGCGGAGTTGGCGTAAAAAAAATGTCGCGCAGCGAAAAGGTTTGAGGACGCTAAAGTAGCTCACGTTCGTCAGTATCGATAGGACTCCACGTCGGATGCAATTTTTCACCGCACCACAAACACTGCAACGTTTGTCAGGTGTTGTTGATTTGTTCGCAGTTGGACGTTTGCTCGAGGTAGTCGTTGAATTGAATACACGATATCATTATAGGCAGAACGAAAGACTGAGAGATAGAAGAGGGATGTGAGGCGGTGTGAATGAGAGAATGGAAACGATGAGAGAGAATCTGTTTGGCATTCCATGTATCCATAGTTTCCGTCAGGCGCGTTTCTCATTTCTGTTTAATTTCGTTTCTTCTTCCCTCGTGTCTATCCCCTCCCGCGACTTGTTCAGGCCACCCTGTCGGAGGAAGCTAAGGAAGTGTACAACAGCTTGGTCGAGACGCCGACGATGGAGAGCACCGGCGACACGAATCCCCTGCGTATGCTGCGCTCGGGCCTGCCGATTGTGAGGCCTCGTATTCGCGGCAACAAGCATGCCACCCTAGGCCACCCGGTGTCGCAGTCGCAGTCAGAGGACGCGCCCAACGAGCACGGTTTCCACTTCGAGATGCATCACAGTGGTGCCAGGACCTTGCCGAAGGTGCGAGCACCTCCGCCGCCGCACGCACCACCGCCGTTGCCGCAATCCCGTAGTCTTGAGAGGCATCATTCCGCCCAGGAGATCGAGAACAATCAAAATCAGAACAACGTCGACGAGAATCCGATACCTCTGCCGCCTCGAGACCGCTCCAAGTCGCTGCAGGCTAAGTCAAGCTTGCCGCGACATCAGAGGAAACATCCGTTGATCATTCCCGGCGGTGGTGTCACCAGGACGCTGGCGAAGATGGCCGTGACAACGCCGCCTATCGAGGATCAGGTGGACGGACATTTCGTTTTACAGAATGCCAGCTCGTCGGCTGTTGGCACTTCGTTGCAGGATAGCTACTCTCCAGAAGCTTCAGCTAACAGGTGAGAGTAACCAGTGGAATCAAGTAATAGTAAGGTGACAAAATACAGAGAGTCTTCCATTAAAAAATTTCATTTTAAATTTCACAGCATTTTTTACCTGTTACAGATAGAGCTATCATATTTGACAGCTGTCGAGTAAAAACTATACGGTTAATAACAATGGATCGATATTCACTTGAGCAATATATATTGGGTTGTTTGGAAAGTTATTAATTTCGGTTTTTTGCTTGAAAATGAAAGACGATATTTTTTAATAGAAAGAAAAGTATTATTATTTTGTTAAGTATTGACCATTTTCTTTCAATATCTTTTGCTATCTTTGAGGTAATAACATGATTCCATGTTCGTAGAACTTGAGGTCCCTATTGGGAAAAAACTGAATTAAGTGGTTTTTGATTCATTTGAATCAAAATTTTTACCGTCTAAAGAAGTTTGCATTGACCGAGACAAGTAATAATCGGATGATGCCAGACTAGGTAAATATGATAGATGCGGTAGCAAATCCCATCCGAGCGCTAACAGCTTCTGGCGAGTCATTAAATTTGTGTGAGGTCTGGTGTTGTCATAATGAAATGAATGACACATCTTTTCTGTTCGCCAATTCTGGTCTCTTCTGCTTGATGGAATCATTCAATTTGTTCAATTGATCATAATACACAGTCGAATCAATCGTTTGGTTGTTTGGTAGTAGCTCGGAAAAACCATTCCTTTCCAATCCCCAAACAGAGAACATCACCTTCTTTTGACGGATATCAACTTTCGATATGTTTTGAGCTGGTTCATCACGTCTGCTCCATGATCTTTTGCGTTTAATATTGCTATGCATAATTCATTTTTCATCTTCAGTTATGAGTCGTTTCAGAAATGGATCGTTTTCCTCACATTTTAATAAAAAATCGCAGATGGTAATGCGACGAATAAAATCTCTTTCTTTGAGAACGTGTGGAATCCAAATATCGAGCTTTGAAACGAAACCAAGTTGTTTCAAAGGCTCATGCATGGTCGAATTCGATAAATTCAATCTCTCAACAATTTCTCGCGTTGTTAAATGACGATTTGCGTCCACGAATTTGGTCTTTATTTGGTCTTCATCAGCCTCAACTGGTCTTCCAGAACGTGATTTGATCCAGAACGCATTTTGGGAGATCGAAATTTTCAGAACGAAATTTCAAAATTCTGACACTGGTGTTTAGTCGACGCATCTATACATTTTACATACAATTTTGTAAAGACTAAGATTTACGCTAATGTTCTACAAACGCTTCAAGCGTTCAAAGATAATATTTGAACTGCTATTGGCGAAATTGAGCCACAATTGTGCGAAAATGGAAAATTCCCTCAAAAGACTATTTGCAAGAAAAGTCGAGGTGGCCATTTGGCTTTTGGATATTGTGTTCCACGTTTAATCGTATAGTCTGTACTTCGAGTTGGAATAAAAATATCATAACTTTTTAAAAAATAAATTGGTTTTTTTACTTAATTAAAATGAAACTGTACTACTAAATTAAAATGAAACCTCTTAACAGAAGACTCTGTAATAACTATAGCACCGAATAATAAATTATGTTATAATAGGAAAGAATAGAACAAAGGGAAAACAGATAGTATAGAATAACAGATAGTAAAAACGCTAATAAAATAGAAGAAATAAAGAATAAAGAATAAACATGATAATAATAATCATTGACTTCAATTGTTCAGCGATTGTAAGACTCAAATAAAAAATATAGGGGAAAGAATGATAAGAGACAATTGCAGGTCTAATTTGTATTTATTTATAATAATTATTATAAAGATTATTAAGTTATTGATACTTATAAATATATACAAATTGAACCTGCAATTAGCTGTCTTTTTTCCTATTCTTCTTTTTTAGAAATAATGAAATTTTAGGACACTTGTAGTCGTTTATTATTCTACCAATGTAAATCGAAAACTGGAATTTTTAGTCCGGAAGAGTTTGAGCAACGTATAGACTCCGAGCTGGCCGCGCTAGATTCCTTACCTGTCGAAGAGAACCGGCTGCGACGGTGTAGCGTGATTTCGGAGGACCTGCTGGAATTCTCGGAGAACCTGATCGACTGCGGCGATGCTTCGAATACACGGCAGAACGTCTCGGAAACCAGCAACGACGGCCAGTCAAGCAACTCGTCGAACGTGACCGACAATCTACGCAGGAAGATCAGCGTTGAGTCGAAGAGTTCCGTGAGGAGCAACACGTCCAAGGCGCAGGAGACTACGGAAGCAGACGTGAGTCAGAATCCAACACCGGCTGGTAGTTCTAGCAAACCGGAAGACTGGAGTAAGATCGATCCGTTGGCTCCCATCGCGATGAGAAATCCACCCGCGAGAATCCCTCTGATGCATCAGTCTGGCCCGCTGAACTATGCGTCGCAAGTGGATCACCACGCGCACGCGGAGGATGTCCCGAGCAAGCCCGAGACGACGGTCCAATGCGAGGAACCGTTGGTGCAGATCGATCCGAACGACGATTTCCATCAGACCGCTCATCCGAAGGCATATTTCCTGCCCAACGAGAAGACAAGTCGCGCGAGCGACTTGTCACGCCAATCAGACCATGTCTCTTGCGAAGATCTGTTGGAGTTCGCCTGCGACGGACCGAACACGCGTAGGACCCGCGGGCCTCGCAACGGCGAGCAGTCTGACGAGGTGCGGATCATGCTGAAAGTGTTGCACGAGCAATCGACTCCGGAATCCTGCATCGCTGCGCTCAACGTTACTCAGTGGGATGTGCTGGCCGCGATTAAGCTGGAGCGATTGCAAGGTTTGCTGAAGAAGGAGAACAGCTTCGTAGGTCTCGAGGATTGCAAAGTGATGTTGAACCAATGCGGCGGTGACGTCGTCAAGGCAGCCGCGCTCTTGCGCAGCACCGAGGACACCGCGGCGGTTTAGTGTGTTTTCTACAATCGATTCTGTTGCTTTCGATAGATGCTTCTGACGGTGGCTTGGAAGAGCGAAACTGTTCCGTAATCGATCCGAAATGAATACTCGACGGGGGGGAAACAATCTAGCGCGAACTTCGGACTTCAGTGAGAAGAGAGACTGCGCACAACGGCAAGTTCGAGCCATATACAGTTTTCTAGTTTTTTTCACAGTATGCTTCCTTAAAGCGATTCTATTTAAGATTCTTGATGAGACCATTTGTAAGATTTTTACGTGTAATACGTGTAGAAATGTAGATGAGAATTTAACGAACGTTTATTTATTGTCTTAACGTTATTAAGGCGACGAAAATGTTTGATATATGCTTTATGTTATCTAGTTGAAGGATTGCAAAATTAGCTTACTTGATACGCCCTTTTTCAAGAGGATGGCAGAACGAACTAGCTCTTTATTTAACTTGCCAAGCAAGTTCACCTAATCGATTGTATCTCTTTTATCTATGAACGTAATGTGATAATTCGCACAATAAGAATCACAAATCTCTAACGACGAAAAAGATGTAATTGAGTTTCTTTTTTTTCTTTTCTTTTCTTTTTTTTTTTTAATTTGTAAAACCATACAATTTTCCAGCAATGCGTAAACAAGAGAGTTTGGTTATGAATAGAAATTTTTACAGATCTGAAATAATGCTTGTGTCCACTTTATTTACGGTTCGTGCTGTAAGGTGTAGATTTTTACCTCGCGTATTTACATAGTTCGTGGAAGCACGTCATTTTATATTTCGAAAGTAATATGCGATTATGTGGTGTTTTATACGAGACAATCATTTAATAATATTTACACGCGTTCGGAATCAGTGCTCAATGACGTCAATATCAAAGCAGTAAAGCTACGTTCTAGCGATAGGCAAATTCGTAAAAGCGATCTTGTATGGATCGTCTACTTGCCGCACACGTTATGTTATTTTCTAATTGTAATAAGTGGTAATATCCGGCCCTCTCCAAAGACTACGTGTCATTCGTTCGATGTCATCTCAATGTTCACAAGTGGATATCACAGAATCATCGCATTCACCAAATTGTATATTTTCTAGCCCATTTCCAGCCGAACGATATAACAGTTTTTTAAACAAGGATCTGCAATTATGATCGAACAATCGCGGTGGATCCTGTTAATTAATAAGAAAGATTGGATAACGTGGGCTCGCTATGACAAGGCTCTAATCGACATTTCGAGAACTCTGTGAAGAACAATTTTGAAATGTTATAACTTGTATACACTTGTTGGTATTTGCTAACATTTTAACTGGAGAAACGAACGCAATAACGTTCATTTAGTAGCCGACTAGAGCCTTACCACTCGATGTTTCCAGTAATAAGTATTTGCATAACAATATCGTATGCTTTACGTCGTAAGCTTTACGAAATTTTTATCGAAACCAGGCATACATGAAAGAAGGAAAGAAAACAATCTGCCCACCACAGTATTTTATTATATCTTCAGATCTTAAGACACGCGTAAAATGAAAGTTTCAGACGTGCGAAGTATTGTACCTCGTTGTAAAAAGAAAGAGATATTCTTTGTAATTTAAGGTAATAGATTTGAGTAAGCACCAAATATTTCGCGAATTCTATGTGTTCAGTAAGATTACTTTTACGACCCGAAACGTACTACCCATCGTAAGTTGTGGCCCGCGTTCTCCCCGTACGTTTAAATGCTAAACACGGCTAGTTGACTCCGAGTTTTGATATACCGTTTGATATCAGCGTCGCATCCAATATAAATTTTAGACGAGAGTCAGGTAGCCGGAGTTAGCGTGAAATGTACGAAAAGCACATGGTCACAGCGGATCTGTATCTTTAAGTTATGATATGTAAAAAACCAGTTATAAAACGTGACTGAGAGACGTAAACGGTGGCTTTAAAGGGGCTACTCCAAGTCTGGTACGATAAGATTATCCTTTTCTACGGTCGGAAGAACAAACACAGAGTGCGTATCATTTTTCATCCGTAAAAATCCTTAGGTTAATATACACAGAAGCAATAGGGAAACGAGACGCAAAACTGATGACTGACCGCGGATGCAAGTGCACATTGCGGCTATAAATCGATTATTCGTAGTCTGATACAGTTCCTGTTGAGTTACATTAACGCTGTAGTAATCTATCATCGTTGAAGCGCGCGGGAGAGATGACTGTGCGACAAACGGGAAACGAAGTTTAATCGGGCAAATTATATCTTATCGCTATCGGATTTCGTTCGGTGTGTATGTTTCGTATGTATGCGTACATGCGTGCGAGAGTGCGTGTGTGTAATGTCTCGAAATTGTAAGTACGTATCTATATATTTATATGTATACGTTGAGCAGAATCACGCTCTACGGTATGCTTTCTCCTTATACGCGCTATGCATGCAAAAGTGCGGATAAGGCAAAGAATTTCTAAAATTTTTACAACTAAACTGATCAAATTCTAAAGCTACTTCCAAAATATAGTACGCGATTGTAACGTACGGATCGTTATTTCTGGATTATTATTTTTCTACAATTATTTCTAAATTGACTGTAGCCCCCGGCGAAGGTTAAGAAGCAAAATGTGTAACGCGCATTATTTTTGTACCGTAACATCTTCGTTCGTCATTTTTACCGAGTAATTTTTATAGCGTCGCGATACTTTGAGAACTTGAACGATACTAGTGTGTCAATTCGGAGACGTTGGAATTCGATCGATCCTCGTAAAACGAGTAAAAGGATTCCACATTTTCATCGTACACGCGGACCAGCATAATGGCTTTAACATTTAGTTAATAATTAGATTATTGATATTTTCCAATTTTGTACACATTGTTTCTGGATGTTATAAGGTAAAGCTATTAATAGTCACAGATCACGGCTTTAACATATCGTTCCTGATCTTCTTCGAGTAATCAGTAACTAAACATAAATTAATTATGTACATGTACTATTAAGAATTTTCTATTTAGAATTCTCTTCAATTCTAGTATCCTCTCTAATTGCACGACGACTATTGAGGCTATTATGGCAGTTTGCGCACAGTTTACGACGACTGTAGGAGACGACTAATTAACGAAGAAGAACCGTGATCAAAAATTGTATGTTGGTTAGCACGAAAAAAAACCAAACTTTGCTCATTGTTGCTGCGCGCGCCAGGAGGAGAGCTGGGAGCGGTTTGAAAAGGCGAAAACGCGTGTTTGGCGAGCGTGCTTTCGTTCGCGTCGTTCAACGAAGCCAAATAGGAGCCGATGAAACCCGCCTAAGTAACTCGATGTTACTTACCGTTAGCCTCGTAAGATAAGCGATCGTAATAACGTGTGTATGTGTGTGTGTGTGTGTGTGTGTGTGTGTGTGTGTGTGTGGTGCATCCCCGCGATGCGCGCGTTCGAGTAGCCAATGTACTTATACACGTCCGATCCGTGTTTCGGCGTTATTTTCTACGGATCTATTATCATTATGATTTATTTATACGAAATCTCAGTTGTATGAAAACCGTTTGACGGGAAAATACGCGCGAGGATAGATAAGAATGTCAAGCTTTGCAAAAGGATCGCATACACTATGGGAACGATTATGAAAATAATAATAATAATAATAATAACAACAATAATGATAAGAATAATCATAACACAATAATAATAACAATAATAACAACAATAATAATAATTAGGATTAAGCTCAAGCCATACCTATTTCTCTCGCAGGCAAAGGAGAGAGAGAGCGAGAGAGAGAGAGAGAGAGAGAGAGAGAGAGACGCATCTCGCGAAATGCGTATGACACAAGTGGCTGATAATTTTTTTAATGTACGTTGAATTTTTCGCTACGTCCGAAATCATTTCTGCGATAGAATCATCACGTCGCGTCAGCATCTCGGGACTGAAGCAAGTAAAATATCACACTCTCTGTAGGTATAAGGAAAACATATTATGTCGCGATGTATTTTAATAGCAAGTAGATATACAGAGCCGTTATCTCTCGTGAAGAAAAACTGCATCCATCTACTCACTATTAAGATCTTTCCTTTATTTATTTATCTATATTAAGGCATTGTGTCTCGCACGTTTAATTAATAAACGAATGACTGAATAAATAGAGATATCATTAATTAAAGAACTCGGAGCACGAGTAAGGTAAATGCGATTGCGATGCGATGTAATGATTTTACAGAGAAGCTGTCGTACAAACGACCTGCGCCTAATCCTTTCAGCGGGAGAATTCAGCGTACATTAGAAAGACACGACTGGCCGGTAAAATTGGGTTCGAGAGCAAACGCGTCTGATTTTCCCCGCTCGACTATAGAGAATAAGTCCATCCTGTAACCATTTTGATACGCGATTTTCTTTGTAAGGCAAACACGTTTATACGTCTCTATATATTATTACGCGCGGAACTACAAAGAATGTTTTTTATATCTGCTGTATTTACGATAATATATATACACATTCATAAATCACTGGCCGAGACCATTTCATTTCAACTCAGATTATTGCAAGTGGATAAGATTACCTTGATACCTTGTTATACAGGATGCTCGGAATCTTTTGGAAACGGAAAATTGTCAAGATTTATCAGATCAAATTGAGAAGAAAAGTCAAACATCATTTTGCAAAAATCGCAATGATTAAGTTATGAATAATTGAAAATGACCACATCTAGGAGCTCTTTTAATTGATTACATGACTCTTAGTTTGATCTGATTAATCTTCACAATTTTTCGTTTCCAAAAGATCTCGGACACCCAGTATATTCAGCTTATTTTAACTGTGTGTATTTATTAATATATATATATTATATTATTTATTCGCAGGATTAGGAAGTAACTCGTTACTTATAACGAAGTTACAGTTAGTTATTTTTTTTTGGTAATTATAACTTAACTTCGTTCCATTTTTTCTATCTATAACTGTAACTTAACTTAATTACATTTGTTTGATAACTAGTAACTAATTTAATAGTTACTTTATATATTTCAAACTTGAGTTTCTGACGGACTAGCACGATAACGCGACACGTGCAATACTTGATATCCAATAAGCATACTGTTATTCTAGCTGCGTTTGAAAAACGCGCTATTGTGTCATCTATCTTTATTGTTCATTAGATATAAAACAAAAATAAAATGACGCAATAACGCTGATAGTTTCCTCTTCGAATGCAACCTGTATTTCTTTCAAAAAAATTGTACGTCTATTGAGCATTTCCGTCGCGCGTCGTCAGTTCTCATTTATTAACATAATCTGTGTTTAGCAGTGAGGTGCGCTGCATGGTTTCAGTTATATAAAAAATTCAAGCAATGGATAAAATATCTCAATCTTCGGAGGAGGATTGTAAAATGCCATGGCCAGCATATGCAGAAATATTCGAGTTATAGTAAAAGCTTGGAAACGAGAACAATTGGGCATTTCTTTGCCCAGTTGTTATTAACAGTCTTAAAGAATAAATATGAATTGCTTATTTAAATTTATGAAATTAATTTGTAAAAATTATATACAATATGCGGAATATAATAATCAACAAACTATTTTTATATAAAATTGAAGGAATTTACACAATTACGAAATTTAGAATAATAGCACAATTATTGTAAAAAAGTAGCTGAAAAGTAACGGCTTGTTACTTTTAAATAACTATAATTGTAACACGTTTTGAAGGTCAGTAACTGTAACTTGTAATTGTAACTAGTTACTTTTTCCGTGAAAAAAACTGTAACTAGATACTTTTACAAAGTCACTTTCCCAACCCTGTTTATTTCTATACGATAATTTTACTGTACCGTGTATTAAATAATTTTACTGTACAGTGTATTAAATATTTGTGCATATTTATTTATTATATCGAAAATTGTCGTGGCAAATAATCTCTTCTGTTTTTGAATTAAACAGAATTCGAAAGTTCGCATCTCGCTCGATATTGTCCAAAAAAAGCTGTTGTCAAACTGGTACGTCAGTTTGTGGGATTTAGCACACTTGTACATCGCTATGCAAATGCTTGCGCGAGTACTTGTGATTTAACCCATTAATGCCGGTTGGGACAGAAATTTCACGTTGATTTCAATATTATGAATTTTTATGAAAATGCTCAAAAATTTTAATCCAAAGTACATTACTAGAGGTTCTCGAGGTCGCTCTTTCCGAATCCGCTGCGAGAATAAAAAAATGAGTGTTCGTATTGATTTGTAACGGTTTTTTCCAAAAATGCGATTTTTTCTCGTTAATTTTTTTTTTAAATCATGGATTTCATCTTGATAAAAATGTTGAATATTACTGAAAAGTACTCCAATCATATCCTTGAGACTTGTAATTTCAAAAATACATATCTGAACGTAAAATTTTCTGTACTTTTCAAATCTGTAATAAAAAATATAAGTTTTGCACCAAAAAATCAACGTTGGGCCCCGTTAAGTCCAAAAAGTACATCGGACCCAAATTTGGAGCCTACCACGTGAAAGAACTCGATCAACAGGACAACTTTTATTTTAGATAATTTTTCATAAAAATGCACTCATAACGAATTATTCGACCGAGTTCCCAAGGATCCGGCGATATCTACAGTGATACATGCATATAGTCGCCATATTGAAATTATTAAATTACAAAAGATTTCAGAACTACATATATTTTAAGTACTCGAGGACGCGATTGGAATACTTTTCAGTAATATTCAACATTTTTATCAAAATGAAATCCATGATTTAAAAAAAAATTGACGAGAAAAATCGCATCTTTTGGAAAAAAAAACCGTTATAAATCAATACAAATACTCATTTTTTTACGATTCTCGCAGCGGATTCGGAAAGAGCGACCTCGAAAAGCCCTAGTAATGTATTTTGGATTAAAATTTTCGAGCATTTTCATAAAAATGCATAATATTGAAATCAACGCGAAATTTCTGTCGGCATTAATGGGTTAAGCGTGACGTGACCTTGTCTGACATTTAGCACCGGAAGGGTCGGCAGATAAATGACCAGCGCCCATCGCCCTGCAATTGCAGCATGAGAGTTAATTCCGATCGTGAGTGATATGCGATCGCGCTTCGATTGCTCGGCAAATGAAGGAACGTGAGACACGTGCCTCCACGTGTTTGCGATACGCGATTTACACACACACATACATACTGAACCGCTCGGCTCGACTGAGAGTGTATAGTCGGCATTATGTTGTTAATGCGTGCGCGGATTTTTTTGCTCGACCGTGGCGAGAGCGGCTTTGCTTAGCCGAGCCGGTCGGCCGGTCGGTCGGTCGGTCGCCCCGCGATAGTTGGTGTATTATGGTCGCAGTTATGCCCGGACCGTCGAAGGGGAAAACGTCGTCGTCGGGAGATCCGCTTCTACGTGAGCGTGCGAATGAAAAGTACGACTCGTTTACGCGCTTCATTGAATTACGTCACGCTCGTCGCGGCCAGAATCGGCATCGAGGCGATTTATTTCTTCGCGCACGAGAGAGAAAGAAAGGGAGACACATACGCGTGCGATCTTTCTCTTGCGCTGCGAATTGTGCGATTTTACTCGACGTCCGCATAATCGCTCCGATTAATTTCAGAGCCGGAGAAGAGCGCGATGGAAAAGAGATAAGCGCGCAGCTACTATACGTGCGACGGTAGTGATGAGCGATCGAAGTTGCGAACTAGTGGATTATTGCTGAACGCAGGCGAGGAAGATGTGAATCGGCGAGCCGACTCGGCGATGGATCGTGATCGCGGTGAGAGACGATATATAACTCACGCGATAATTTATACTGAAAGTGAACGCGATCATGCAAAATAGGTTAAATTCGCGTTTCAGTAGAAGAATGAAAGTACGGTGCGCAATTTTGCGGAGAGATTGCAAACTCACGCTTGCGCAACAGAATATTCAAATTCAGCCGAGGATGCGAGTATGCGTGAAATTTGCACGATAGTGTCGAATGTTGCATATTAGCGGTGTAGATACAAGAATCCGATTGAATCAACGTGATAATGAGCGAATCGAATGTGTCTTGGTGGAAAAAGAAATAAACTGAATTCCTGGCTCTTAGAGCCGGCGGGTTTGATTCGCAAGAATCACAATTTCTGCTTCCCTCAGTCAAAATGCATTTAACTCGTTCAGCATCACGTTAATTCAACCAAACGTTTTCTTTCTCGTGCACCAAGGCGAGTTTTCCAGCCATCCTCTAGTAGCGCATATTGTTGGGCCAATATTGGCTACAATTTGATCCCCCCCCCCCAATATTGGCCAATGTAACCCCAGTGTAAGTCAATATTGGTATAACAATGTTATGCAATATTGGCGATATCTTGTAATTTTATATCTAACCAATATTGGGATACATTGGGCCAATGTAACCCCAATGTAAGTCAATATTGGTATAACAATGCTATGCAATATTGGCGATATATTGTAATTTAATATCTAACCAATATTGACTGTATATTGGGATACACTGAGCCAATGTAATCCCAATTTATGTCACCGTAGCCAATGTAACACCAATGTAACGCCAATGAAGTATGCTACTAGGGTTGCCTCTCGTGAATCTTTCTACGAATTTGTGCGAACGGCATTCGCGCCCCGTTTCGCATGATCGCTTCTAAATTAACGTATGAATAATCGCTAACGAAGAAGGTAATTGCCATTTTGAGAGGAAAGCAGGTAGCTTCCTTTTCTTTAAAATTGCATCAAAGCGATACTTCGTGTAACACTTGGTGAAACCAGATAATGTGTGCGTACATAAAAAGGATTTCTGCATCATTCTATTATCGCCCTGTCTTTGCGACGCGAGGTAGAAGTGTCGTTAACGTTATCTATGAGGTAATTATCTATGAGGTAGATAGAATGCTCTTTCTCTACGCGACAAGTTGTTTAGGTCTCTTGTCCTACATATGCCAAAAGAAGAGATAATAATTGATAATAAGCTATGCGACGGAAGTTAGGTCGCTTCTTCTTGTGTTGTTATTACACGTGAAGAAGAATGTTCCGATGAGAAAAGAATACAACGACACTTCACAGGGATTGCGAAAAACGCAATTGCTGCTTTATGCGTATCTCCAGCGATCTCTAATTTGTACCGTGCGCAAATTGTCTACGCAATGATGCAACAAAATCAACCGGAAAATAACGGACCGCTCCGTCATCTTGTCGATTTCACTTAATTTTGATTACGGAATGCCTCTTTTTACACTATCATAACGAAACACTCGAGACACATCGACTTTCTCTGCTCGATATCTCAATGACTTCTAATGTTACAAAATTGTACACCCAAAAAAAAATAATTATAAAACAAGCGGAATCGTCTAAATTTTCGAGGATTTTATTCTTATATGTAGCCTCAAGAGGATTCCTCTCAGATTAAAAGAAAATAGTATAAACACATTATTCTTAAAGTTAGAGGGCGTATATGTTATATGTATAATGCAAATCTTATTGATCTTAATATAAATTTCCTCTTATACACAGATTATTTAACCTTTCTTTAA